TGAGTATTATCCCCCCCCCCCACCAAATCCACTAAAATTACGAAACGTAAACAGAAACATAAAAGGATGCACAGCAATGCTCAACAATGGGAAACAGCACCAACTGACCAAAACCTTGGAGGGATTTCCTAGAAAATATACATCTGATGGGATCAAAGGGACAGGAAAACAATACCTCATGACCAGCCCACGGCCAGGCAGGACAGACAATAGGCCTGCACACAGGGAGGGCGCGTGTCCATGCCCAGCCCAGCCACCTGCAGTAGGGCCAGTGCTGACTGGGGACCCTTGTTGCAGCTCCAGGGGGGATGCTCTGGGAGGAAAAGGTGGCCCCTGAAGGACACCTGAGCACCAGAGAGCAGGCGTGCCCAGGAGCCCAGGCCCTGAGTGTCACCACTGCAGACAGGAGCAGGCTCAGCCCCCAAGGCAGCCAGGCCCTTGCTAGCTTTAGCCCCTCCTTCATCAGCAGTCTCCAACCCATGGGAGAGACAGAAATGCACAGGTCAGCGGTGGCAACGACACAACAAACCAGACAGGACAGCAATTGCCGTAAACACAGATTGGCGAATCTGCAGATGAAGGCAGACCCTTGGGGAGAGAAAGCCAATGCAGCACTCAGGTCCTCGCTGAGAGGGACCTGGGGAGGAGGAAGCCCTGGATAAGCAGGTGGGGAGATGCTGGTCAGCCGGAGAAACCAGGGGCAGAAACACTTTCAGGTGTCACAATAAACTGGGCAAAGACACAGGTATTTTATTTTAGAGACCTGGGCTACCAAGAGATTAGTCGACAGTTTCTAGAGCAAACTGAGCAAGCCTAACGTCTAACTGGTGAGCCCACCATGCCTACCGACTGAGTGATTCTGCCTCTAGGAACTGATCCCGTGCAGACAGATGCTCTAGAAGGGCAAGTACAGACTATATGTGTAAACCTGTCTGAGGCCAATTTGGGGCTGCTATAAATAGTGCTGCAACTACATAAGTATTCATCCACAAGCTATCAAAATAAGTTAGACTTATATGCATGCTGACATCGAAAGATGCTCACAATACAGTGAAATGGAAAGAAATAAATTAGAAGCCCACAGACGTGATGCTGTACACCACTGAGACGCTTGAGCGTGGCCCCTGAACTCAGATGCAGGAAGGCGGATGGCTCCCTCAGTGGGAGAGCTGGGCGCCGCTCAAGGTCTGCTTGACAAGCTTCCATCCAGGCGCCTAATTTTACACATTCTATGGATCAATACACAAACAATTTGCATCAGTAAAGTCTTCCTACCTAAATATAACTGGGAATCCTGCCCTCCAGAGCTCAGACAACTCCAGTTGGGCCCAGGGAGAGGGTGTGTAGGTTCTGGGCCATCCCAGAGGCAGAGACCCAGAGTCCCCAGCCCCATTAACAGGGGTGTGAATACCTGAGGACACCCTGCTCTGTCCAGGGGCCGTCACCACCCCTCCCACATGGACCAGGACAGACCTGCTGTGAGTGCCCCCTATAGGCCAGGCAGCTGCAGTGGCAGCAGGCAGGACCCAGGCTTTCAGTAGGTGACTGTGCTGGGACTTGTCCTAACTACCAGCACCCACAACACACTCCTGAAGCCAGGGGCCACACGAGTGTGGTTCCCAATACTGTACAGCCACTTACTAGTTCTGGGACTTAGACAAGGCGCCCCTTCCCTCCTGGCCTGAGATTTTCAGGGTGTTGTGAAGACTGACTCGTGTGACACGCTTACTGCAGGGCCTAATAAAACATGCTCCTGTAGCAGGGCCCAGATACAGACTCAGACCCAGCCAGGCCCGGTCACAGACTCAGACCCAGTCAGGGCCCAGTCACAGAACCACCCACACCCCCGGGCCCCAGGAACAAAGAAACTAGGTAAGAAATTAACTCTCCAAATCACAAACTGACCTCTGAACCCCACCTCACTAAAGCACCATTCTCATCTCCTGGCCTCTAGGACCCACGCCTGCCACTCAGTCAGCGGGCAAATCCCGTGTGTCCTGAGGGCTCTACCAGGGCGTTTTATCCCAAGAGGAAGGAAAGAGAGTCTACTCTGACAAACCACCAGGGGCCACTGTCAAGAAAACCAGTCACGCTGCAGCCGCACTGACGCCCCTCTGCCCAGGACGCCCGCCGCCCCTTACCTGGGTGGCTTTGGGAGCTCATCGCTGGCAGCGTCTGCTCCTCTCCTCGACTCAGTGGCTCCAAACGTCCACGGACACAACGCGGCACGGAGCGGCAGAGTCCCGCCCACACACCCACGGCAGCAGCGGGAGGGCCGCGGCCACGTCAGCGTCGGGAGTCTGCGGCAGGTGTCGGCTGGCTCAGGGCAGGACCTGCGTGGTGAGACAAAGATGGGTGGGTGAGGAGGTGACCCGAGGAAACCTGGATTTGTTTTCATCACTTCACCACTGATTGGTAAAGCCACTCATCTGGGCACTTCTGCTGACAGGAAGCCCTTGGGGGGGGTTAGTGAACACGTGGAACACGGGTGAACACGACCTGCAGCACCACTGGTGGAGACCATGTCACGGGGAGTCACTCTGGCCACTCCCACCGGTCTCCACGTGCGCACACTCCCACCAGCCCACATCCACATACCAGACCTCACCTGCTGCCACCTGAGTCCCAGGCCCAGTCAGCCCTCCTCACTTAACCCGTCCCCCATTTTCACCTCCACAATTACAATTCTGCAGCCGATTTCCATGGTCTCCTTATACAAGTGCTACATGTGTCACAGGAAAGTATTTTCAGTCACCAGGATGCATCTCAGAGGCAGACATGCGGTAATATCCTGACATGCTCTTCTGGTCTTTTGCCCACACTGCCAGCTCCCAGCCGCATCCCCCTCTCTGTGCCAACATTACAGCCAGTTTTCCAGGGTCTGTAACACTCCTGGCAGCACTGACTGAAGGCGCTGAGACAGAGCTGCCCCTCCCCCACACCAGGGAGTGGCACTGGCTGGGCCAGTTCATCAGATCCTCTCCCCAGGACCAGACTAGCCCACAGGTCAGTCACCGGGCAGAGAGCCCAGGACGAGTCCAGGAGCCACCACCAAGCCTCTGCACTGGGCAGGGGCATCACGAGGGACTTTTCAAACTTTGTGATGAGCAGGTATTACTTTTATCATCAGAATAGGGAAATACACTGAAAAATAACAATTCTGAAAATCCTCCTATTGACCCTGGCCAAAGGCCCTTCTGGGGCCTGTCATCCCTTCCTTTGCCAGTGTGACAAACTCCTGCTCTTGTCTAAATCACTCAAGGACATTTCTTCCCCATTCCCCAGACAACATACCATGGAAGGGGTCCTCCCAAAGCTGCTGCTTAGGTGGTCTCCAAGTACACGGGTCTGTAACTGTGGTTAGTATCTTTATTATTATGATTCTGTGTCTGATTATTTCCCTACAAAACAGTGACGTATTTCTCCGGTTCAGAATTTTTATTCATCTCTTGGTCAGAACAAACACCATTTTCTTAAAAACAATGCAGATGGTATGTTTTACAAACCCTTGCAAACCTCAGGTGGCTCTGGAGCCTTCACACAAGTCACACCTTGGCTGGGTATAAAAGTCTTAGCTCATAGGAATTTCTTGTTGAAAATCTGCAGACACTGCCCCACCCTCCACATTGCAGAAAACACTGCCAGCTGAGCAGTGGTTCCTCGCCAGGGAGCCTCTAGGGGCCCAGTGATGACAGCGCTATTGTCGTTATTGTTACTTTATTCTGTCTGGATTCAGCTAAAATTATTTTTTTAATCTTGAAATCCAAAAATATTTTCAGAAGGTGTATGGTTAAGAGCCTCCTTTCATTTATTGTGCTCCAAACACGAACCTTTTAATACACGTAGGCTTTCTGCTCAGGAAATGGTCTTCCCTTACTTTCCTCAGGCCCCTCAAGGGGCTGGACTCGCTCCGCCACCACGGCATGCCTGTTGTCCGTTCTCCTGCCCAGGCCTCTGCTCAAGCATGTTCTCCATGTCACCGCTGTTTCCATGCAACCAGTTGTATTCCTATGGCTCCTGCTACAGATTTTAAACCATTTGTTCCCAACCATTTCCCTTTACGACTCATCATTATCTCGTCGTCTCCGTGGATTCACGCTTCATGGCCTGCTCCTATCGGTGGGGTCACGTCTTCTCCCAGCCAGTCTTTTGAAATTTGTTTTCTGATTTCAACCATGAATCATTTTCAGAGGCAAGTGTGTCTTCTGCATTTCGGAGTAGTTCCCTCTCCCCTCGTCCTGGGACACCTTTCTGAGGCCCATGGTGGTGGTTCTTTCTGTTTGTTTATCCTCAGAAAAGAACAGCTCTAGTGCAGAGCTGGGTTTTGCCCAAATACTGACACACCTGCTCCTACCCATGTCCACCGCGAGGCTGGTTAAGACCCTTCTCAGGGTACTGTGCCAGCAGCTCACATACAGTTTGCTTTCAAACACAAGATAAAGTAGAAATGGGGATATTGTCAGATATGCAAAAAAGGAAATGCTCATCTACAGCAGATCCGCACAAAAAGAACTATTACGGATCCACCAGATAGACACAGCCCCACACACAGGTGAAGAGCCCCAGAAATGGGAGCCATACAGGCAAATATAGAAGTCTTCTCTTACGTTGAATTTCTCTAAAAGAGAACTGTCTAAAGCAAAAATAATAATGTATGGAGGTGTTTATATCATAGTACTAAGAGAACATGTCAAAAACACCCCATACAGCACCGCGTCCCAGGTGTGGAGTGTGGCAACGTCCGGACGGCAGCCTGCCCACTACAGAGCCTAAAGCAGCCCTGAAGCTCTAGTTAGCACATCAGCAACAACACAATCCTAAACACAACCCAAAGGGAGGCAGAAAAGGGAAAAGAACAAAGACCGACAAACAGAAAACATACAGGAAGATAAACCCACTCCACTGATTACCACATCGCATGGCCACCCTCGCCTCCCTCAGAGGACAGAAGCTGGGAGGATGGACGACAAAGCGAGACCCGAGTTCAGCAGAGTCCGCGGCAGGGAGGAGGCTGGCTCCGCCTGCTCTGAAATAAACCTCCCCAAGTTTACAGACCCAGTCACAGCGCTGCCTGCGAGGAAGCCAGTGTAAGAACAAAGATACAAGCAGATTGAAAGTCAGAGATGGAAAATATACATCATGCAAATACTAATCAAAAGAGAGCTGCAACAGTTACACTGATAGCAGACAAAGGAGATGCTAAAGGACCTCACCAGGGACAAAGAAGCCACTTCAGAAAGATAAGGGTCGGTTCTAAGAGGACACGGCAATCCTAAACAGCCACGTACTGATAACAGGCCTCTGACACGAAGAAAAACTAATAAAAGTGTACGGGAACTGGGCAAACCTGCAGTTACAGCTGGGAATCTCAACAGCCTGACCTGAGGAACTGTCAGAACAGCAGGCAGGGAAGGAGCAAGGACAGGAGCGGTGACAACACTGTCACCCAACCGGACCAAAGGCACTTACAGAACACTCGGTAAACAACAGAGCACACATTCTCCACATTCCTGTAAAAGCACACGGAACATTTACCAAGATACACATCTCTGGGGCCATAAAACAAGTCTGGGTAAATTCTGAAGACTCAAACCCGGCCGTACAAATGTCCCCTGATTAAACTGAAATTAAGCTAGAAATCAAGCACAGAAAGGTATCTGGAAAACTCCAACTATTTGGAAACAAATATACTTCATGGGGCAAAAAAATTAAAACGTAAGTTAGAGAGCATCTGAGATGACAAGATGAATGGAAAAGGAAGCACACCGCATGGCAATGTGCGGGGCTGAGAACAGAGGGGAATCGGGCGGAAAGCCTCTATTAGAAAAGGTCTCCAGTCGATGACTTCAGGTGTTGCCTTAAGAAGCTAAAAAAACAAACCCAAAACNAAAAGGAAGATAAACCCACTCCACTGATTACCACATCGCATGGCCACCCTCGCCTCCCTCAGAGGACAGAAGCTGGGAGGATGGACGACAAAGCGAGACCCGAGTTCAGCAGAGTCCGCGGCAGGGAGGAGGCTGGCTCCGCCTGCTCTGAAATAAACCTCCCCAAGTTTACAGACCCAGTCACAGCGCTGCCTGCGAGGAAGCCAGTGTAAGAACAAAGATACAAGCAGATTGAAAGTCAGAGATGGAAAATATACATCATGCAAATACTAATCAAAAGAGAGCTGCAACAGTTACACTGATAGCAGACAAAGGAGATGCTAAAGGACCTCACCAGGGACAAAGAAGCCACTTCAGAAAGATAAGGGTCGGTTCTAAGAGGACACGGCAATCCTAAACAGCCACGTACTGATAACAGGCCTCTGACACGAAGAAAAACTAATAAAAGTGTACGGGAACTGGGCAAACCTGCAGTTACAGCTGGGAATCTCAACAGCCTGACCTGAGGAACTGTCAGAACAGCAGGCAGGGAAGGAGCAAGGACAGGAGCGGTGACAACACTGTCACCCAACCGGACCAAAGGCACTTACAGAACACTCGGTAAACAACAGAGCACACATTCTCCACATTCCTGTAAAAGCACACGGAACATTTACCAAGATACACATCTCTGGGGCCATAAAACAAGTCTGGGTAAATTCTGAAGACTCAAACCCGGCCGTACAAATGTCCCCTGATTAAACTGAAATTAAGCTAGAAATCAAGCACAGAAAGGTATCTGGAAAACTCCAACTATTTGGAAACAAATATACTTCATGGGGCAAAAAAATTAAAACGTAAGTTAGAGAGCATCTGAGATGACAAGATGAATGGAAAAGGAAGCACACCGCATGGCAATGTGCGGGGCTGAGAACAGAGGGGAATCGGGCGGAAAGCCTCTATTAGAAAAGGTCTCCAGTCGATGACTTCAGGTGTTGCCTTAAGAAGCTAAAAAAACAAACCCAAAACAAGCAAAAAAGAGACAATAACAGAGAGCAGAAATCAATGGAATAGAAAACAGAAAAAATCAAACTAAAAGCAGATTCGTTGAGACAGTAAAATTGATAAGCCTGTACCTAAACGGATCAGAAAAAACAGAGCAAGTCGACCAGCTGCTATCAAGAATGAGACGAGCGTAGACCTCATGGATATTAAATGAAACAACTTTATGCCAATAACTTTGACAACTTAGATAAATCAACAAATGCCTTAAAACCCAAAGTACCACTGTTCACTGGAGAGCGAGCGAGCCACCCCCGGCCAGCGCCCTGGGCGCCCCCGCGGCTCCTGTGCCCACCCTCCTCACCTACTTCGGAGCCTGCGCTGCGAGGAGCTGCACTTGCCGGCCCGCCCGCCGGCCAGCCGTTTGCACCAGCGGGGCTCACGGACAGTTACTTTGTTCTGTGTGATATAATCCAAGCCTATCATGTATTTTGTTGCTCAGGCTTGGCCACTGGGAGCTCCTTTAGGTCAGCACCTACGTTTTTCTGACAAGATTCCTCTCCCATCTTTTTTTAAAAGATTTTTTAATTGACTTTGAGAGAGAGGGAGAGGGAGAGAGAGAAACATCAACCAGCTGCCTCCTGCACCCCCTGTACCAGGGACCGAGCCCACAGCCCGGGCACGTGTCCTGACCAGGAATGGAACCAGCAGCTTCTGAGTGCCCAGGACGACCCCCAACCAGCCGAGCCACACGGGCCGGGGTCTCTTCTTTTTTTAAAGGATTCTTTACTTTCTGGTTCCACAAGATGTCCCCGTCACAGCCCTGCAATCATCCACTTCTCCGAGGAGCCTGGTTCCTTTCTTTGGAGAACTGTGTTAGACACCAAGGTCTGGGGGCTGCGTGTCCCTCATGTCCCTGTCATGGGCCCTGCGGGCAGGCAGTGTGCACGCACCGACTCACACATTTACATGTCTGCACCCAGCTGATGCGACACCGCCGATTCCAGTGCAGCATCGCGGGCTGACCTCGTCCGTTTCCTGACGTGGGACCTATTTCTCCATCAATGAGAAACTTTGCTTTTATTATCTCCAGTAGTTACTCATGTGTTCAGTTCCGTACAGAGCAGTTCAGAAGGGCTGAAACATCCTCCCACGCAGCTGCAGCAGGCGCCCCTTCTCTCTGACCAGCCCCGCAGTGCGCCGTGCGGACACCCCCCGTTCCTCAGTGCAGATCTTCTCTCCTGCACCCTTCAGCATGGTGGGTGCTGCATTTGTGACAGAACGTGAGTCACTGTAAGGATTTAGTTTTCATTCTGGGTTCCCCACATGCTGGTTGGCTTTAACTGTTTATTTTTTTCATATATGTAAGAAATACAAACTTTAAGTGAAAAAAAAGTGTGTTCACATTGATATCTGCAATTTAAATTTCAGATTTTACAGAGTTTTAATGTAAATTTCTCTTGCTTTGTATAACAGCTTCTGTATTATGGGAATTTTGAACGTAGACAAAGTGAACAGAACAGTAAGAGCTCCTAACACCGGCCTCAACAATTACCAACATCCTGCCACTCGGGCTTCACCTCTAGCTCCTTTTAACAGACATTAAAATGCCTCAAATTTAACTGAGCAATTGTGAATGTGGGTCCATCTGTGTAAACCTGTTACCATGAGAAATCTTCTTACTTATAAATGCACTGCCAAACTAGTGGGAAATAAATACCTCTGATATGATTTATTCTGAACCAAGTTCTGTTTAAACAAGGGGATCTGTCAGGATATCATATCTGAGCAGTACAGAGTCTGGGGTGGGATCTGGGGCAGGCCAAGTCTCAGCACCAGCCCAGACATGGCCTCCTCCCAGAGGGACCCTCCACAGAGCCGTCCCCAGGCCCTGGAGAAGAAGGCTCCCTCCACTCAGCCTGCCCCAACATCAGGCTCTGCTGCGCCATCGGTGGCCCTGCCAGCCCAGAGATGGTCACCCCAGCCGCCTGGTCAAGGCTGTCTCAGAGCCAGGTGTGCCAGAGCCATGGCCCCGAGAGACAGGCAGGGGGAGCTGGGTCTGGAGAAGTAGAGACAGTCTGGAAGACAGTGGGCCTGCACGAAGCTGAAGAA